CTAAAGCGGAGAGAAATCATGCGTGAGTGACAGGGTTCCCCTCGTACTTGGCTGCTGTGGTTGATGGAGACAGATGGCTGCCCAGTGGAGTCCCTTCATACCAGCAGACCAGCCCCGCTGCTGAGGCCTTCAGCTTTTAACCCTCTGAGAGCTGATAACAGATTCAGCTGAGGGGAAAATAGGCGTGAATGAGATCACAGACACACAGAGATAAGCACGCCCGCTTGAGATGAGGCTACGTAATAAGCGACAAACATGCCCCAGCTCTCTGTACAGATGATGCACCGGTTTAATGTGTGTGTGTGTGTTTGTCCAACACAGCACGGGTTGTCAGTAAATAATCTTCTTTATCATTCACAAATCCCTCCTTCTCTCTCTGAGCCACACACTTGCACACCTAAGATAAATACACACTTAAAGACAATAGGCAGGGCCTCGGCGTGTGAAACCCCCTCGGGACGGCGACGCTCGGGAGAATCAAGCAGAGGAATAATCCCTGTCATCTGTCCCAAATCCAGAGGAGTCGTCAGGGAGATGCGCCGCTTCCTGCCGCGCTCCCTTCTCCCTCCGCCGGAATCTCTCCCTAGCAACCATGCATTGGCGTGGTGATTGGACCAGCGTACCAGCGGTTGCTATAGCTACAGGAAGCTCCCCATCCCTGTAACCCCCCCATGTTGTTTTTTTTTTTTTCTGTGCTGTGTCTCTCTTTCTGTTTCTAACCTTGCTTTCTTTTCTTTTTCTTCTTTATTTGTCTCCATTTGTCTTTTTTTTTTTTTGTTCTTCCCACAAGCTGTCCCTGCATCACAGTCTCTCCCTTGCCTTCAGAGCACAACGGCGGTACAGTACAGTAGGTTGATGTTATTAATATAGAGGTTGAGTGATGGGGGCTAATGGCATCCAAAGACTGACTGAGACAGGTCTGCAGAGAGAGAGAGCAAAAAAGATGCTACAATTTTACAAGAGCCCTGGTGAGAATACTACCTAGAAATGGAGCTTTAGCAGAGCAGTCAAGTATTTATCTAACCTGTCTGTGTAAATCTGCTATTCCCTTTAGCCCTGTTTTATGAGAGAAATCTATTTCGTCTCCAAAAATAAATAACTACTGGGAGCGGCTTGGCAGTTTATGTGCGAACCTGTGTGTGTTTGCATCTGTCTGTTTTTTTTCTGCTTGTATATTTGCTCCTCTGCCTCGGTGTTTGTATGTGAGCTGGCTGCACGGGCAATACAAACCTATTTTGCCTTTGCTTGCAGTTTATGCGTAAGTTAGCACTGCGCTCGTGCCACTGACAGGCCCCGCTGTTTTCGTTGGAATCTGAGGGTGCCAATTATTCCTCGGAGGCTGGGTAAATGTGGTCACTATGTCATTGGGCCAGTATGCACGAGTCAGCCCATACGCCGGTAACACAACACCACATGGTCCATACACTACAGCCCGCTGCTACACCGAGAAGTGCTACGGGAGCCACATAATCCACACTTACACCCCCACTGCTTATTTTTTTTCTTTGTCTGGAGTTGATGCATCAGTCTCTGAGCATGGCTTCTGTCTTCAGCATTTTCCAGACGTCTTTTTCTTGAGCTGATTGCGCGGCTGCTTCTTGATGCTATAATCAGCTGCAGTATAATGGGTTCAAATGAGAGGTTAAATGCACATGATTAGTGATCTGCTTCTCTTCTGACTAATGCATGAGAGAGGACTTATGATAATGTGGCATCCAGGAGGCACTGTGGCTTTATAAAGAGTGGGCAAAGATAAAGGGAGGATGGAATGATGGATGGGGCGAGTGTGTGTATTTTGCTATAAGAGAATGTGGGTGAACGTAACTTTTAGTGTGTCTGACTGTTTAAGACTGAATGATCATGACCTATTCAGTGGGGCACAGTCAGCCCTTTTGGGGAGAAGGGAGACTGAAATATAAGAAAGAAAAAGAGGAGATGCAGGAAAAAGGAGGGGGAAATAGCTAGGATTTTATGTCATGGTTTTTGCAGTGGAAATTAAGGCAGACTGCGGCGCACACAATATCATCGGTCAAGGTCAATAACCTAGATAAACAATCAAATGTTGAGACGCCCTCCCAATCACAGAGTTCATAAACACATGTGGTAGATAAGGCAATTGGCTGCTGGCAGTGGATTGTCACTGTGGCGCAATGGTATAATACAGTTTAGCCATTAGCCTCCAAATCGCACACTCCGCATGCCAATGTCATCCTGTCCCAAGATGAGAAATTGATTTCATGCTTGGGTGACTGTCATCAAGAAAGAACAGGAAAAAGAAAAAGAAGAAGACAGAAGGAGAGGAAGAAAATGTTAGAAAATGCGACAAAGAGATGGAAGAAATCATAGAAATTCAATCTTGCATCCCGCTGTTGCATTCAGAACCATTTAACCTCAGGAAAATAGACAGAGAGCTAATGAAAAGCAGGGAATGGAAACACAGACAATAGAGAATAAATGGAGTTTATGAAGTTCAAAAGAACATGCAACATGTTTGTGAGTGAGTGAGTGAGGAGGGAGGGGGGGAGAAGGGTCACACAATGAACAATAAAAGCTTTAGAAAACTGCTGGTTGTGCAGAAGCCCATACAGGAGAGCATATTACAGGCAGGGATGTGGCAGAGTCTGGCCGCACAATAGTGCCCCGCTGCCTCACGGGAAGAGGAGAACTCTCTGGAATAGGAGAGGGGAGGGTTGCGTGAAAGGTGCGCTAACATGATGCGATCAATGACAGTTTTCCATTACTGTAGCGCCACTGCGAGTGAGAGGAAAAGGAAGAGGAAGACGAGAAAGTGAGAATCACATTCAAGTGATGATGTAATGTTTAGGCGACACAAACAGCACCCCCATCCCCCCTCTTCTTCTCGTTTCTGCTTGCTTTCGGTGCTCCCCCCCTCCCTTTTTTTTTTTTTTTTTTCTCTGGGGCACAGAAGAGAGGCTTCCGATTGGTTAATAGCACCATAGAGATGCTGAGAATATCCACCAACCAGGGCCCGGGTGCCCCCTTCACACCGTTACCACAGCAACCCCTCACAACCACAGCGAGCGTGCACACATGTATAGATGCGCACGCTTATATGCATGAGTGCACTATACGCTCGCGTTTTCACGTGTGTGACAGCTACACGCAGGGAACATGCAACGACAACCCTCCAATGAATAGTCCTGAGTGGAGTTCATCTACTGTACAGCGTCTGGTCGCCGTACGAGAGCGCGGTGCAGCTCAGACAGTGATAAACACACAACTTACTCAGCTTCTCTCTTTGCGAGCCGTGACAGATTGCCCAGGGAAGTTTGCAAAATGCCCGTCATAAGTCATTCTAAGGGCTGGCGATAATTTCCAGCGCCAAGAGCTGAATTCGCAGATTTATTTTCACATGTATATAGGACTGAATGATTTACCAAGATGGGCACTGGAATCAAATTATAAACACAAACATTTGCCAAACTGTCTCATTAAAAATAGATTTACTGTGACCGCAGCCTGCACAATATCCAAAGACCAAAAAAAGAGCCCAAAAAAACCCTCTCTGATATTAAACTATTATTCTTTTGTTGTTGTGGCAGAGATAATCTAATGCAAAGTGTAAAATCCATGCTTCCTCAATTTGGATCTCTTTGTTTGCTTGTTTGTACAAAATGTGCTCAGTAACAAGGAGCAGTGCAATCTCAGTAATGTAAGGTGTCCAGAAGTTTCTGTCTGTTCATTTTGATTAACATAACTATATTCATGTACAAAAATGTGTCTGACATAAATGAGAGAACTGCTTAACGGTGCTATTTCTTTTGCATTCTTCTACACAAGCGAGGAAATGTGTAGTAAATACACACAATGTGTTTCGTAATGTGGAAACGATGTGATTAGACGACACATATTTCCTCTTAATATATCTTGTTGCTTTTTCATCTCAACTCATCTGCAAATGACTTCAAAAGTCACCCATGGCTGACTGTCTTTGCCGTAGAAATGAAAGTATTAACATAACACTGAGCGCACTCGCTGCAGGCTGTAAAGCGGCATGACAAATAGCATTCCTCGGTTCTTTGATTTCTAATTTGCACATTCACAGATACTCGATTGTCACAAGCCCATTTTCAGACCTGCCCTTAACTCAGCAAGTGTTGCCAGTTTTACACGTCAGCATCGTTGTTGAGGGGGAACTATGAGTCAGTGTGATTTTGCTGAGCCAAAGAAAAAAAAAAAAGGCACATCCCCTGCATCAGATTGTCAGTTTTCTAAATTGTTGCATGTTTATTCATGCCAATTGCCTACAACATGAAACTCCACCAAATCAGTTTGCCCACACAGTCGACAGCATGTGGCCAATGTAAGCCTGAAAACTTTGATGTATTATTTACGTGTAACATCAAGAACGATCTGGTCTCCTCTCGTAAATGACTTGTATTTGACCTATATTCTTAAGGCAATACTTTGACTTGGTGTGTATTTCTCAAAATAAATTTATTGTAGAACACACTGGAGTACATTTGCTTTAAAACGTTAAACGCATCCTATCAGGTTGTGCGATTATGTCATCTCTGTTTCTGTTGTAGGTCACCAGTGCTCACCTGTACCACCGCAAAGCCTGTTAAGTCAGTCTCATTAGACCACAGCGTACGACCAAAGGAGAATCCCCTCCAAGTTGCCAGCACAATAACAAGCTACCTTAGCAGGATCTAAGTCCCCTACTAGGCACCTCTGATCCGCTCCAATCCCCACCGAGGGCTAATAGTAGCACTCAGCATGTACACTAGGAGATGGATGAACGAGTGCATACAGCGGATCTGTCAGTGTGTCTGGGTGGAGGCAGAGGATGTAACCAAGATATATGTCTCTGTGTTTCTGGTCTACCACTGGAATCCCCATCTTACAATATACAACTTTAACAACATTTATGACCAGGACCACACAGAGCCCAGGGACTGTGAAAGACAACACCTGTTTGTGTGAACTGCTGGTCTACTTCAACGCTGTGTTGTGTTGTTACAGATTGTTTTTCTTACCGGTGCAGGTGAAACACTTGACGTGAAAGTGGGTGTCTTGTACTCGAACCACCTCTCCTTTGCATACTTCGCGACAGCGCTGGCACCGGATTGGTCCAGAGCTCCGCTCACCGCCTGCTGAGCCTTGGTGATAAGCTGCTGCGGACAGAAAAGTACATTTAATATACTTCAACAAAAAGCATACATTTTAAGCAGTGTTTTGCAAGCTGAGTCGACAATCCCAACTTAGTTAAGCCTAAGCGTTCCACTCTCGCAAAGTACATTTCCAGTTTACAACAATAGCTTTACTTGTAAGTGTCAGGAATTTTAAACATGTGGTTTAACAGGCTCATCAAATCCAAAATTACTTCTTCTAAAACAAACAGCTGAACTCAGTTACTAGTACACAGCAAAGTATAATTGATATCCATTTGCCTGGAAAAAAAACAGCATATCGCAAACTAACAAAGTCCGATTTCAGCCACAGGTGCAAAAACTAATTGAGTACTTGTCTTCTGTTAAATAATCACCATCTATTAATCAGCTTGACTAACTATTTTCTGAAGAAGTCATAAACATCTGATTCTACCTTCTTTAATTTGAAACATTTTTGCGTTTCTTTCCTCCACTATGACAGTAAACTGAAATTCTTTGGGCTCTGGACAAAATGAGACATTTGGTGATGCTACCTCGAGCTTTGAGAAACACTGATTGACATTTTTTTTACTGCTTTCAATCGTTGGTTGCAGTCCAATATTGGCAATCACACAGATAAACCATACTCAACATTTCTGAAAAACACACTATTCATTTTAATTAAAATAGGCTGCATTGCATTGGGAAAATAATGACATTGAGGTATTTTGTTCTTCTGCCATTTGTAGTGTGAAAAAATACAGACATTTCCACCAGATGAGTTGAATAACTCTATTAAAAGAATGAACGTTTCATAATGATTGTGCTGATTTAACAGGGAGAGCGTCTGAATAGAAACTAAAAAAAAAGAACAATTTGTACACGTCAGTACTGCAGTTGATCATGTTCATGTAATTGTGGGAAGTCAGAGTTGTGGTCATGATTAATATTCCAGTAAACTGACGTTGCTTTTCTTTTTTGCAACCAAATCGTCCTTTTTTTGTTTCTGTTCTCTCCCTCCCTCTTTTTTCTGTGCACATGTAGATCATGCATGTTGTGTATCTTGTGAATAATAATCAAAAAAAGAATAATCTGATTAAAATATCAGAAAGACGTCACGAAAAATGAGAACCGTGCAATTTTTTCTTTTTGTGTCCAGCAGCAAAGAAAGTTGTAGCGTCATGTGTTGGAGTTTATGTGCCTTATGATGCTGAAATGACACATCCTTATAAATAATCATGACAGATTTCAGCCCCAAGCTTCATAAAGCTGCTTTTATAATTGCATATTTCTTAAATGTATGTATCAGACCATCATCAGACCTGGGGCCTGACTACACCACATACTGTACTGTGTGCAGTTTCACAGTAAGATCACTGTGCAGCTCTGTCAACACTTGTTGTGAAGCTGTGAGGTCTGACACCTATGTAAGCTGGGTAAGCTCCAGGCTTTCTCTCCCACAGTCTCTATTTTTCACAAACTCATACAGGCTGAACACTCACACACACACTCACACACACACACACACACTCACACACTGCTGCGTCTGTTGAGAAAGAGGATGGATCCCCTTACACCTTATACATTAGCTTACATGTCAGACGCCTGCAAGCCCGACAGCTATTTCACACAGTCAGGAAAGCAGGTTCTCACATGCAGCCTTAACAGTACTAGAATATATGGTATCACAAGAAGAAGAAAAAAGGGGGGTCGAAATGATACATTAATTCGATCGTAAATGAGAGAGGAAAATGAATTTATTCAAACCTCTTACAGGCTATTAGAGGCTCTCTAAAGGTCCATCACCTCCTCTTGGCTATAAACAGACTCTCTTGCACCCACAAGCAGAGAAATGGATATTAGACAACCAGCCTTATAATATCGAGACTGAGTCAGAGCAGCTGGGATCAGTCTCTTATTCATCTCCATCTTCCTTGAGGAGCACGAGTGGTCCTACTCTCTGTGGAAGGGGGTATAATGGCAGGGTAACCAGCTGGCCTGATTACCTGAATAGCTGACTGAAAGACTTTGCTGCTTCAGCCGGAGCAGCACCAGCATATGGGCCGGCGTGACGGAGATACTGATTCCATTTCGCTGGATGAATCCCCAAGGACTTGCATTACTTTAAAAGTCTAACAGCCTTTCACATGTCAAAGCCTGAGCGCTCTTTGCGTGCTCGAATTCTGACAACGGTACGTTCACAGCGTGTGCGAGCACGGGGGGGAATACACTCATGGGTGTGGGAGAAAATGTATGCATGAATTTAGTTGTTTATTTTCCTTCTCAGGACAGCAGCGTGGGCACTGGAAATATGCAAGCGTTATTATTTCCCACTCATCGCCCATCTCCCATCCTCAAGTCTGCGTTAGTTCTTTGTTTGGCTCACAATGCTGGCAGCACCACTGGGATCGACTACCCAGCCTCGTGAGTGCAGAGCTGCTCATTCAACTCCCAACTCTCCCTTGAAAGTGTTTATTTTTTTTCCCTCCTCGTAAAACCAAACAGGCAACACTGATCCCATCAGGTGTGAATGAGAGATAATGGGAACTAAAAGCATGCCATGCAAGCCTGTGCCAACACAGGGCATTTATTTACAATACTGACCTTCTGAAAGTGGGCCAAAACCAACCTCTGGCACAGCATAACATCCTCTTCTTTCACAGCCCAGCCAGGCAAAGTTGTACAAAACTAACAGCATACATCCAAACTGAGCAAGGTGTAGAGATAAGATTATCAGTGTTCTTGCAGGTTTTCACCAAGCGTGTTTTAATGAATGAGGTGCTTATTTAACCTGTTGAACATCAGCGCCGGGAAAGCATCCAGGTACACAATCAGCTTGCATTACGTAACTCCGTCTAATTGTGTCAGCGCGTTCATTCTCATCGAACGCAGCAAAGCTCTCCTTGTCCGAACCCATTACAGTGCTCTCGAACCAGCCCTCCATCCTCTCCCATGCTGAGGCGTTGAGTCATTCTTCTAATGATAGCCACCAGACTACAGGTGTAATCCACTGACTCCAAATCAGCGGAGAGTGCCTTAGGACAATACCGCCTCTGGCAGACAGGTGATAACAACAGCGCTGCGGTCAGAGAGGCCGACAGCATCCCCGGAGGACTGAGAGGTTGCTGCTATTTCTACCCCTGACCTGACAGCCCCGGGGAAGAAAACGCCGGGAGCTCAGTCACGAGGGACGCCGGGAGATTGGTGGTGATAAGTGAGGAGAGTGACGAGAAGGGCAGAATCAGAACAGAGGCAGTACACAGATGGTGTGGAGATGAAATGAGTCACTGAAGGAAAAAAATGAAACCCAAGTTTACTTTTTAAAGTTCTGTGTAGATTTTACTAACATACTCATTACTGTTAGTTGCATTTTTTTCACTGTATAAGCTCTATAAGAGTTTTAAAACAAGGAATCCAGCTCAATCACAATATTTAAGCTGGTTAGTTGTTAGTCTTCAGTATCATCAGTAATTAATGCCCATAATCTTGAGCATAGCAATTACACCTGACATGTTTGCTTATTAGCAGGACAGTTACAAGATGTGACTTGTGTGGAAGCCTATTTATGAAGTACATGTAAAACTGCTGTGTTCTACTCAGTTTAGCAAAAACTCTGTGGCGGCTAGTGAGCAAGTGGTTCACGTACAATCCGTCACAGGCTGTGAACATCTCATCCATGACCTCTAGGATGCATCAAAGACAGCTATTGGTAGAGCTGAATGATAACGACCAAAAGTCATACGAGGTGTGTGTCAAAAAAGTTCCAGGACTGGTGTCACAAAAGATACAAACCCAAACTATAAACTACGAGTTTTCCCCTTCAGACAATCAACCAGCACATCTACAAAGAGATCCTGCAGCGTTTGCTTCGTTCAGTGCGTGAGAAGAGGTGAGAGTTGTGGCAGGACAAGTCGTGGCTGCTTCACCATGACAACACGCCTGCTCACAATGCCCTGAGCATCCAACAGTTCCTGGCTGAGAAGAACATCGCCGTGCTGGAGCAACCTCCCTACTCACCCCACCTGGCTCCGTGGGATTTTTTCCTTGTCCCCAAGTTCAAGGGGGTCATCAAGGGGACCAGTTTTGAAGACGTGGACGACATCAAGATGGCTGTGATGACGGAGCTGCGGAGGATCCTGGAAGAATCCTTCCAGGAGTGCAAGGCGGAGTGGCAGAGAAGGCTGGGGAAGTGTGTTAGACTCCAGAGGGATTACTTCGAAGGGGAAAACTTGTAGTTTGTAGTTTGGATTTGAAATATATCTTTTGTGACACCAGTCGTGAAACTTTTATGACACACCTCGTATGTTGGTATCTTTAGACTGAATGGCGATACAAGGTACACTCCGATCAAGTGCTGATCGATTAAATTTTTAACACAGATCGTCTGGTTAAAATGCGATGTCTACTGGGAAAACTTGGGTCATGACATCCATGTAGATGGTACTTTTACAGGGAGCACCCATCTAAACATTGTAGAACAAGCAGACTCTCCACAGCAACGACAATCCTCATCCCCTGCAATTCATTCTGGAACACCTTGAGAAACACAACCAAGAACCCAAGGCGTTGACCCTGCTCTGAAATTCCCCATAACCCAATGTAATCAAGCTTCAGTGGCACGCTAATGGTGCTTCCAACACCTGTAATGTGTGACAGTAGCAACAAAATCCAACTAGAAGCTGGGTAGATTAGAGTTTTGGCATCGATGCTTAACTTGAGACAAACAAACTTCATCAACCGTTGCCCATGCTCGAGTCATATTAAGTTTAAACTTCGAGATATTATTTATATCTGTGCTGCGCTGCGCCTCCCTCCATGCAGCTGGAGACCTTGGCGCCAGGTTTTGCACGCAAACGCAGAGATAGTGGGGTTGCAAAAATAGTGTAAGAGAGAAGCGAGATGCACACGCTGGCACGGCTTTAACGGAAACATGACCGCAACATCAAGCTATATCAGCATAAACAGTGATGTTTCATCCTCGAAAATATCAATCTTCCTTAAAAAGCTGATATACCATCCAGCAG